AGAACCAGGGATTGAATTCAGGCCCTTGCACACTTTTTTTATATATTTGAAAGACCGTTTTTTGCTTCTTTTTTCGGTAAGGTGCCCAATTTTTTTGATTATGCAGATTAATCAATATGGCTCCAAAATGTTCAAATACTTTTTTCTCTCTTTCTCTCCCTTTTTCTGTTTATATTGCTCCATATATGTATTTACACATTCACCAGCAGTTAAGTATTAGCAAGCTAAATTCTATTCTTCTGATTCAAATTAAACGCATCACCAAGTTTTATTATATTTTCTGCGCAAAAAGGAATCGACGACAGTTCTCTGAGTTCTCGTGTCCCACACGGGAGCTGAGTACTGGAGCGCAAGGGCAGTGCAGCGAGGCTGGGGAGGCAGGAACGGCGGGAAAGAGGCTCACGTGCCAGGTCACGTGAAGTTCCATGCCCGTGAAGACTCTACTTGGGCGAAGTAGCTTTCACACATGTGATGAAAACACCCTCCCTGCAAGAGTTATTGATGCACTGCATCTGCTGCCTTGGAAAGCGGGCATTGTCCTAATGCCTGATTCATTCTCCCTGGGTTGGGTTTCTTGGCGGATTGCTAGAAGGAGAACATTGAGAGAACCTCCTTCTGCAAAGATTGGCTTGTTGTTTACTTTCTCATAAAGGAGACTACCTTGGAGAAGTCCTTGTACTTCCTCTTTGTACTTGCTGATAGAAGTTAATGGGGAGCAGAGCTATATAAATAAAATGAATGAAAATGCACTCAAATTACTTCACATTTATTCAACCAGGGCCATCATTTGTGTAACTTTTTTTTTTTTTTTCTAATTTGGATATTTAGAACCTGGTAGCGAACATACTGTCTCCCTTTAGGAATACCCAGCAAATGTACTCCAAGTGCCTGCATTCCGACAGGTGAACTCAGAAAGACAGTAGCTCCATACTCTGGAAAAGAAAAATCTATTCATTCCAATTTTCTTCAGGAAAACTTTCATTGTGAAACTAAATCTAAACATTGATACAGTGGTAAGAAGGTAAGCCCAAACGATGAATCTGCTCATTTCTTCTTTCCCACTTGCTTCCTCCAGTCCTATTTCTGGAAGGGAACTAGTTTGGGTTCTGATTCTTTAATTTGCTTTTCCTTTTTTGGAAGAATTTCCACACAAGTATCCAGAGCGGAAAAGAGGTTAGCAGAGCATAGACAGAGGCATTAAGCAAATGATCCTGCAAAGCTCTAAGTATCTTTCTGAGGAGAAGAAAATGACCACTCTGGGTTTGGACAAAGAGCATTTGCAACTCTGGGGAGAGAGAAGACCTCTGGCGCTCTTGTGTTGCACTCAGAGTGCAAAGTCTGCCTAAAGGCAACCATTTCAGAGGGCGTGGAGTCACGCAGCAAAGGCCCAGGAAGAGAGGTCCTTCCACCTGCTTCCTTAGTGACAGCAGAGATCCTTTGCCCTCAGGTGCTGCAGCTTAAGGTCAGCCTCTTCACATCTGCACTTTCCTTACCTCAGTCTTAAAATCCACAATTAGGTTAATTGCTCTCTGACTGCTTTCTGGACATCCGTGGGAGTTTCTCTTAGGCAGCATCAGAAGAGTTTCACACTGCTCACTTTCAAGACCACCTCCTCACAATTCTAAGTGTTACAATGAACAAAGACCTTGATTAGGGTCCTTCCTAATTAGGACGAAACTTAATACTATTTTGTTGTTTTTCTTATATTCCATTGTAATACAACATTCAAATAGTTCAATAATAACCATGGGCCTGAGAATGTTATTAGAGATAAGAAGGAGAAGAAATTTGAAGGTATTTGTACCCGTAGAAGCAAACTGTTTGAAAAAGGTTTGGATTTTGAGCAATTCTTTGTAATTTTCAAAGACTATTCACCTTCTATAAATCTTCATCTGAACTCAGCCGTGGAGCTGAGGATGGTTGATATTATAATCACACAATGAGACATTTCAGGAGTAGAAGGGATTCTAAAGGTCATCTGAAGCAACCAGTTAATTTTTCAGGGTAGGAAGCTCAGAGATTGTGCCTTGTTTGAGATTTCACAGTAAACCAGTGACAGAGCTCCCAGCACAGCCTTGCTAAGGCTCACGTTCAGGATGTGTTCCCGCACTGGGCGAGGCACCACGGACACCGGGTAAGCGCACGAGCTCCCTCTCCATTATGTATTTGATGCTCGCAGTAACAGTCCCTATCCGGTATGGTATGATGGAGGCGTGGAGGACAAGGGCAAACAAAATAAGCTGATCACTTCCAAGTTGTTTCCAATCTCCTCTTGCTGTCTTCCATTAGTTTGCATTCTTTCAGGGAAGGCAAGATACGTACTGCTGGGAAAGAGAGGAAACTTGGGCTCAAAGACTATGGCAGTCAGGAAAACTGAGTTCAAATACAGCTAGTAGTTTCCAAGAGGAAAGGAATTTAAGTGTGATCACCCACGGGAAAGCCCCTGTCCACAAGCGCGCGCGCACACACACACACACACACACACACACACACACACAGAGTTTAATTACATCACTGCTTCGCAGGCCGCTGTTCCTCCAGATCTCCCGGTCCGAGGCACACAGGCTGTGCTCAGAGTCAGGTGGAGACAGGAACTCCCTGAGCTCGCGGGAGGCGGAGGGCAAGAAGAGCCCACGCGTCCCTGGCTGCCAAAGTGCAGCAGACGCGAGGAGACAGCTTCAGAGACCCAGAGAGAGCCCGATCGCACAGGAACCTGCAGCCTCCTCCCCGACACCCGGAGCCCGCGAGGCGGCGGCGGGCAGCGGAGGCAGCGGTGGCGGTG